GGTGGTGACCAGTGAGATGAAGAAGCAATGGAAGAGGAGGAGTGGTGGGTGGAACATAACCTCTCCATGTCACCCTCCTTTGTGAGAGCTGTATGAGGGGCAAGTAGATGTGAAGGAAGAAAAAGAGAAGGCCAAAAGAAAAATAATGATGATTTAATTACAAGCAAAAAGAACTTACAAAATATTTGAGCACAAAAACAATGTTAACGATGTACTTTTGGGAGGCAGTGTGGGTGCCAAAGAACAGTTGTAAACGTCGTAGACAAACGACTCTGTTCAGATGCCAGCGTAGATTTATCCCTCTATCCAATACTGTGATACACAAGGTTTTGAAAGAGGTTTTACAAAAACGTTCTTAGAAATTTGAAGATTTTTCTTCAGGAACGTATGTTCCAAATAGATTAGTTTAAATTGGTTTCTTTCTACTGTTAAATCAAATAAAAACAACAGGTATAAAATGAAACAAATTAACAAAGCACACGAAAATACATGCCTCCTGAATGGTTACTGTTTTGAAGGGATGTACCTTACAGATGTATTAGGTGGCACAGATTAGCCAGAATTTACCTAATTTGTGACTTACAACTCAGCAACTTTTCCCATCAGGACTCATCATTCTTACTAGTGCTATCATTAATTCATTTCCAGGGGCACAAAAATACCATGAGCGATCTAGATTTCATAGAATCATGGAATAGTTTGGGTTGGAAGGGAGCTCTAAAGGTCATCTAGTCCAACCCCCCTGCAGCCAGCAGGGTCATCTTTAGCTGCATCTGGTTGCTCAGAGCCCCATCCAGCCTGACCTCAGATGTTTCCAGAACGTTTTCATATTTCCTGATCATGCTGAATTTAACAGCATCCTTGTAATGGTCTGTGTGCATTGCTAGCAAAAATAACAATGGTATTCTACAGCATTACTGAAAAAAAAAAAAAAAAAGTATTAATCTTGTATCAAAGAGATGCTGCCAGAGTTTCAGTCTCATTCCTACAGGAAGGAGAAATCCCACAAGCAATCCCAGAAGGCAGCATTGCTACAGTCCAGTTTTCAATATGTTCTTTCTGTCCACTCCTGTCCTTATGTTTAGGAGAGATCATTGTCACGCAGATAAGCCCATGATCAATGGTTAATGTCAGAAATTTGTGTTAGCAAGGAACCTGAACTACAGCTTCAAGTAATTTCAGACTCAAATTTTAGAATTAGCTTATTCCTTGAATTGTTAAGGTCACGATCGTTTGCCAAGCACTGCTTCTAGTAAAAGAAATATGTTCTGGTCCTAAAAGATGTAAATGCATACATAAGCAAGACCAAGTTAGACACCAAGATTTTCAATAAATAACAAATGAAAAGTAAGCTGGATTTTACCGTCCTCAAGTTAAAACACCTGCCTTCAAAAGTGAAAACAAGGTGAGACCGTGACATGAGAGAAGAATACTGTATGCATTCCCCAATAGATACGAGGCAAGAATCTATTCCTAAAGACACATTTGTGACAGCTGATTTAAGACTTCTTTTTAATTGCTACCTTCCTTAATGAATCGTAACATTTGTAGTACTTTGTACAGACACGCATATGTGCACACCCTCCCACAGGGCACCCAAACCCACAACAGTGCTGGAGATATTATATCCCACACAGACTCACATGATCTACACAACTTTAATGCAACTTTAAAGAGTCAAATCAATAAAAAATAAGAAAACCACTTGATGTACAGCTGAATGTTTTGAACATACCAGCGTGTGGGCTGGTAGTCTGTACAAAGGAAGGAACCTTGTACCTGTTTGTGCAATCTATGCACAATGTTAGAATAACAGCAGGAGGAATAAACTGCATAGGTTGCAGGCCTTTGCAAAGAGTCATTCTCTGCGAGGTGTGGGTCATACTGCAATACTGTCAAACATACGCTAATACTACTTTCCAGTTACACAGCGGCGTCCCCATTTCCCTTCTCCTTCGCAGGAAGGAGACAGCCGCTTCCCATGTTGTACTCTGTGCTGAGAAGAAAAGCAAAAAGATTTTTAAGGTCCTTAGAAGCTAAGGTGGGAAACATTCCTTCTAGATCTCAAATCTGGTGACAAGCATCATCTCGAGCATACATGCAAGGACCCAGACAGTCAGTAATCTGAGAGAATTCTCTCTGCTGCCTCTGAAATCTATTCGTCCCTATCAGTATCTTGTCTCCAGCTGCCGCCAGTAGCTGTTCCTGGACAAGAGAACAGCTTTCTCACTGCTGTCCTAGAAAGTCTACATCCAGAAGTCAAGTTCGGTGTAGGGTGAAAATACCTTTCCTAAGTGCCTCGGTAAAGCATGAAGCTTGAGCTTGTAATAGCTGCCAGGGACTGCCTATTCCCTGAATCATTCTAGAAATTAGACCCTAGGGGTACTGCTAGCTTTGATTTATAATAAAACAATCTGAAAAGCAGCCTCCAGTGGAAAGACTAGAAGTATGAGAGGAATACTAAAAACTGAAAAACAAGCAAACTTGCAAGCAACTACTAACAGGGAGATTGTATTTGTTTTTTAAATAAACAGAAAAGCAAATCCCTATACACTGGAATAAAACATGCACCTGGTGTCTGGTGAACAGGGTAGTGGTATGGCCGTGTGTTAGGCCACGGACCTGACGCTGAAACAGCTGCACCACTGCACGAGGTTATCGTGATCATCCTGGACGTTAGCAGTTCAAATTGTCCTTCTCAGTAGGGAGAAAACACTCCACCTTCCCACCAAAGCAGGTGAAGAGCAATACGACACTACTCTGCCTCATCTTCTGCAGGCACAGTTAACATCTTTCAACTCCTCCTTCCACAGTCTCCAGAAAATACACAATGCAACAGCCTCCCTGGAGTGCAGCCTCAGCTCATCTTACTGGCTCATCCACTTTATGCCCTTTATACCACTATTATGTAGCAACAGGCCAGGAACGTACAAAGAACAGAAAACTTCATCTGCTGAACGTTTTACATCTGTCACTAAGCTCCAGCAGAGAGGAGGACGCAACCAGCATCTTGTCTCTCAGAACTGTGATTACTGCAAGATCCCCTTTTCTGTTTTGGGAATAAAGTACATTGTGGCCATGCAATGTGCTCTTTTATATAGAATCATATAAAAGCATCAGGCACAACATTTTCATTGTTGTTTTTCTTATAATTATATTCCTGAGATATAATTCTGTGCGCTAAGCTTCAGACAAAATTTTATAAAAATCCTACTGTTACAACATCACGTTAAACCATCACGCAGAGGCCCTACAATTAAATTATTCATTTAACGAGGTTGGTTGCTAAACTACACATAATGGTTTGAAGGAAGAAATACAAAGTGTTATGAATAAAGGTAAATTACACTGTACTTTCCTCTGCATCAACCGCAGATACCTGCAATTGTTCTCCAAGCCATTACTTTGCATTAACTCAAACCGCTATCACTAGGCTGTCATTTAAAGTGAGCGGTTACTGGCTGTTAACACGCCCGAGACTTTGTTCAAGTGGAGGTGAAACGATTCACTGAAAGTTTGAGAACAAAGTGCCAACATCAGTGATTTAATTACAGATAACTGCAGCTCATACAGTACTGAAAGTCGCAATTTACAGCTGCACTGCTACTAGCAGTGGATAGAAAATCTTCTCTCCACCGAGGGAACACCAACTATGCAAAAGGAGACAAAATAATTGCAGCGCAGCAGACTGCAGATGTTAGCCCGTACGCCAGCTGAGCTCCTCAGCCTTTCCAAAATCAGTGCGAAGAGCAGCAGCAGAAACGAGACGCTGGGCTCTGCCACAGGCTTGCTCTGCTCTCCTGTGCAAGCCTGAGCTGAGCTGCCATGACACAAGCGCCCGACGAATCTCACACGCAGCGTAATAGAAAAATCTGCATTTTCCACGCCACATGCCTTGGACAGCAGCTACCAGCAGACTGTGCTTTCATGTTTACACTACCAGGTCATTACCCTGGCAATACCGACATTTTCATCACGCATGCATAGCACCTGTTCTACCGGTCAGAAACTAAGCACCAGATATTTTTGATATAATTCTTACTACTTTATGTTTGAATCTCTTCTAAATTCTAAAATGCTCCCACACCCTTCAGAGGCCAATGAAGCTTTTTAGTAGGTTCAAGTCTGTATTTCAGGGCACAACTTTGCTAATACATGCTTGTAACAGTGACTTCAGGAATTATACTACTTCCAATATAAAGCAACCCCCAAATGACAATGGTTCACTAAGAATTCTCTTTTCCACTCTGCACATTTTATCTTTGCTATCAGCTCTGGCTTGCATTTCACCTGTACGTATAACATTGTTCTTTGAGGCTGAAAAACAGTATTTTCTGTGACCCAGAGATACACAAATCTAATACTCTTTTTTTTAAAAAACCCTTGTTTTAAAAACACGACATTATTGAAGTAAGTATGAGTAACATCACAGCATAATATTTAGAAAGGAAAAAATAGGAACAAAACCAGTGTCTGTGAAGTTACAGAACCAAATTTATGAAAAACGTATTTATTTTAGTTTTTTTAAAGAATAAAATAAGATTAAAATAAGTGTATGGACAGAACAAAAGAGAAACATGAAAAAACACTGGCATCTGAACAGAATAAAAATTAAAATGGTGACACAAAACAAAAAGAAACCCAAACCACAAATGCATGCTAAAAGTACATAAACTAGGAGTTTCAAAGCACTGACTTGCACATTTTTAATCTACTACTATTATCACTGGAACTAGTATCTTAGTTAATAAGCAGTAACTTTATATTCTTCATCCCAAAACATCATGGCAAATGGTGTTTTAGGAAACAAATAGTCAAAGGTAAGTCTGAAACATGTCAGAAGTAACACAGAAAAGCATAAAAGTAATTTCTTCTAAACAAGGAAAAATGGTATTTTCTTTTAAGATTCATTAGGAGCTCCTGTGTTTAATGCCCTAATGAAATACGCTCACATAACTCATGTCATTACTTCTCCAAATGTTCCAAGCTTAAAATCGTACCTTTCACATCCTCATCTTCAATGGTTGTATTGGAACTCTCTGTTGACTCCTGTTGAGAAGTAGATATAAGTACAATGTATAAAACAAGCCAAGCCTTTTTTGCGTGCCTTTGAAAACTACAATTAGTTACAGAGATCATGCAAAGCCTCGAAGCAGCGTGGGATGTAATTCACAAACAAATGGTCACACACTGATTAAGACATTTCCACCTGGAACTGATGTCAAACATTGCCGTTCTCTACAGCAGGGAACATAAACACATTTCCTGCTGTCTAACACGCTTACTTCACAGGAAGGGAATGGAAACTTTTTTTTCTTTAACATCCAACTGTACAAAGGCCATCTGAAATGTTATATGAATTACCTCAGCCAAGTAGGAGAGCTTGCCATTTTAAGCTTAGTGATTAAACCAACTGTGCAAAGTAAGTCATTCCATTCCAACTTTTAAATGTGCAGACTTCTGCATGCTACAATTTACAACCATTTTTCTGCTCATATGATTTATGCAACGTACATTTAAACAAAGTCTCCCAGTGATGTTACGCATTGTGGATCAGATTCTGTCATTTTTATGACAAAAAAAATTTTGAAGGAGATGGAGAATTGATAAACACATGATAACAACTTTGACAAACTAAAGTATCTTTGTAGTAGTATTCTTCAACCAAGCAGTCATGTAGAGGAATGACTCATCTATCAGACAGTTTATATTTAAGCCACCACACCGTTAAAAAGGCAAGGATACTGTATCTCAGTCTTTCGTGAATTACCAGAAACATGAAATATTACGGGCAAATTCAACAGGGCACTGTAAAAATCTAATAGGTACAGAGTTCTAGAAAGCTGGAAGTTTTTAAAGATCATTTTTTAATCTGTATACTTTTTTGAAAAGTAGAATCAATATTTATTTTTTTTTTAATTCACAGCTCAACAGGAAAAAGGATTAACTGGTCTATTTTCAACTGAGAGCTAGAAGAGAGGACTGGTATTGTATTCAACTCTTAAAAAGGTTTTACAACTAAATAATAACAGGTAAATTTGACAGTGCCCTTTATTTACTGTCCTCACAAGGCTGAGCTGAAGGAATGTTCAAAACAGTTAATGCACCTCTCAGACCTTAAAAAACCAAAACATATGTGCAACCATCAATAAAACTAGATGAATTAATTCACACACAAACAAAACTGAACAAGTCACCATGCTTTTCCTGAACTGGCTGCTGTTAAGACATTCCAGTCTACACAGATGTATCATGCTCTATCACTTAAAATATTAGATAAAGTACTTATAAGTAAACAAAAACCTCACACAAATACAAGTTGTAAACACCATGCACAAGCTCACACGGCAGATGTAGCCTGTAATACTGAAGCATCCACTCCAGTTGCCATACTACAACGATCAGTCTTTCAAATTTAGGAGTAACTGTCCATGTTAAGTGGTTTGCTTGTTTGCTGTGACTTTTTGGGACATGAACTATCTTAATTGCTATGATCATATAATAAAGGCAAGTAGATGTAGTCATGCCAATATTTTATCTGGGTTTTGTGGTCTTTAGTGGACTTAAGTGATAAAGATTAGACTAGCGCTCAAACACACGCTGTTTGTTGCCTGCGAGTTTAAACTTGGGGAGATGAAAAAGTAGTAACACGAAAATAAGAGCTCTGTGTTCGACAGACGCAAGGAACAGAAAGGCATGGGAAATACAAGCACAATACACACCATCAGCACTTTCATGCTTGAGGAATGTCTGCATGCGTTATTTTTTCACTCAGATTCAATCCTTCTCATACGGAATAACCACAAGTAGTTAAGACTAGATAAATTAAATATCAATTCTTTAAGTCAACACCGGAAACAGTGAAATTTTTGTTGAGTAAATTCTTTCCAGGAAACCTAAGAACATTTGTGATATGTAAATGATGATATTTCCTGGCCCTTTTCAAGTCCATGCATGAAAAAAACAAAACAAAACACATTTTAGGAATCAGCTGCCAAACACAAACATAACAATACACAAAAAAAGAAAAAAGCATGAAGAAAGCATGTAAAAGTCAAAAGACCTCTTTGTCACTTGAAACGTTAAAATTTTTTTGAAACTGCTCAGTGATGTTATGGAAGAAAACCAAAGTCCTGTGCAAAAGACACGTCACGACACGGTGTACAAGCATGCTGAGAAACAGCAGATGGGATAAACTGAAATGACATCTTTATCTAAGGTGACAACTGCACATAAAACTCATCAGTATAATCTCACCACACTCTGCAAACAGCGTTCTCTGGTTTTACTTAGACTGCAGCATTTTTTTGGCTGAAACGAGAGACAAACCGCGCTCCCCAAGCCTGGCTGCACAGGGTACCGAACACTGCCAATTGCTACCGACTCCCCCAAGAGCTTCAGAAGCTCATCAATCAGCAGGACGCATGTAGCAGATGAACATAGATGAAAACAGGCTCAAGAGACACCAGGTGTAACAAACACGGGAATGAGATTTTCCTTGATAAATTCCTGGTATGGCCCTATTTTGCTGTGGAAAAGTGGATGAAATGTGTGGTGTGGAAAAGCAAGATGGAGTTGATTCTTTCTGAATACCTTATTTCCATCAGGGTTGTGGATTACTGTAGTTTGGGGCTCCTGAGCGAGAACAAAATAAAGAGAAAAAGAGTTCCCATTGGTAAATACATTCTCATTAGCGTGAGGGAGTGCAAGAGGAGCCAGCTCACAAATGCTGAACACTGACAAGAGCTAAAACAAATGTTAACTGTTGCCAGAGGGTGAAACTGGATGTCTCGAACACAGATTTCCTCAACAGCAAGACAGCAAAAAAAGAACATCTCACCTAATGCAGCAGCATGCAGAGACCTTATTCACGACCCATGTATACAGGGCTTTGAAGCTCTGGAGACCCACAGAGGCTCTCTGTTGCCCAAGGGCATACTAAATGCTTTGCGCCTTTTCCTGTCCCAGCCAGGCCAGACAAGAAGGTCAGAAATCACTTCTTTTCTTTAAGCATGTTTGCTTGTATTAGTATTAAGCTATCAAATAAAAATACAGATGAATCGACAAGGGTGAATTAACTACCTCTAAACACTACCATGTTTTGGAAGACATAGATGACTACCAATTGCTGCCCTGGTAGTGCAGCATAAAAGTAAGCGAGCGAGGTCTTTGGGTCATTTTAAAGTGTAATTTTCCCAAATTATTTTCCCTTAAAAATGGATTATTTAATCTTTGAAATGGCAGTGAGCCAGCATACTTTCAGCATGGACTATTGTGCATAGCTCTGTCTGGGAACACGTTGCCATACTACACTCATGCATGAAACCTGTCAACTAGTCCTTAGAAATGATGTAGCAAGGTATGCTTCAGTGCCAGTTGCACAAAAAAAATGAGAGGAAAAATCTCTCCTGATGTGTGTGAACTATCCACATCGTCAAAGCTACATACGCAGGCATATGGGAAGCAAATCCTCACAAAATTAGGTAGTTGCACACTGGCATTTATATTTGTGAGCTGTGTGATACATGTGTGCCTAAGAAATAGGAGCTACTAATAAAAGCAAGACTGCAACAGAAAAATTCATCAACAGCACTCCAATTAGCAGTATGTTCCTAACAGAGCTATTAATGAGTAATGTCTCCTGCAGATTTAAATGTAAGAGAAACAAGCAAAAATGTTTAGCACTAGATGCCTCTTGATCCCAGTGAAGACTTGCAAAGTCCTGCTGAGTTTTAGGAAATACGGAATGAAAATCTGAATAAGGTCTATTTTATGGTAGCCTAGCAATAATCCTGTTAGCTCTCCTTGATATCAATACTTATACTAAGACAAAGCAGAGAAAATAATAGTGCTTTTTGTGTGTGTGTGTGCGCAAAAGGTTAGCATTAAAAAGATGGAAACAGTCATCAGGCAAAGAGCTAAGAGCAACATAAAGCGCATTCTACTCACTTTCTGGCACAGCATGCAAAAAATTCAACTACAGTTACAAACGCTATGAGTCTACCGCATCCAGCTTCCACGTAACATTTTCTATTAATAAACACGCTCTAATGGACTTCTTCACAAAAAAAAAAAAAAAAAGAAAGCATAAATCAAACAAAAAGTTTTTCCAAAACCTGTTTTTAGAAAGCAGAGTAAATGCACGAAAAAGCAAAAAAGAAGGAAGAACAAACAGAAGACAGTCAAAAACTTCAAGATAGCATGAGAAGGAAGATTCCAGGTATACCAGCGCCGGGGTAGGAATATTTTCCTTGGGGCTGGTTACCACGTTGGTTTTGTTGTTTATCTGTAGGTATGCAGAAAATAGAAACAGACAGGCCTTAGAACTCGCGGTAGGCACCGTATCTATATCTCTCTGTATAGAACATCTATATACAGATATAGATATCTATATATAGATATAGATATGGAAATAAAGAATCACAGAAAGATGAACTTATGAACTTGAAAGAACACTAGCAATAGACCCGACAGCTAGCTGCAACTCCTCCAAACACGCTAGCTACGGGTTTTCAGATGCACTATACGAAGGTCTATATAAGGTATATAGATGACTTCAGCTGTGACACTTAAAAGAACAGAGAGCCTTTAAGTAGCAGCTAATCACACATGAGAATAAAGAATTAATATGAGTTTGAAGAAAGTCCTAAATAGCCATTGTGATTTCTTGACATGCAACAGTACTGCATAATTGCACCCAGTCGTTCTTTATTTCCAATTACCTTTCACTACCATAAATAATATCTGATTATTCACAGTTCTCCAGAAATCTATAGATTTGTTCTACTGGGCTCTGAGAGCAGATTTGAATAAATATAACTGATGCCAGATCTGGAGAAATACAACTGATGCCAGAAAGAGACTGGTGCCCTTTTAGCTTTTTTTTGGTGTTATTTTAGACAAAAATAATTGGCAGCTGTGACTTTTTGTAGTCTTAAGAATCCTGCAGTAGCTCTGTATCAGCCTTTCAATTTTGGTCCTATAACCTAACAGGGTAAGTTTCACACTATAGTGTCTGCAGTCTTACTCCACAAATCAGTATGTATCTGCTTAACTTTCCATGTAGGTCATCATCATGTTAACTCAGTTAGCACAGTACTACACCTTCACAAGACTTTTGGCTTTTCAAAATTTTAATTAAAATTAAACTGTTTAGCAGTAAGTTTAAAGGTATCTGATTCTTTAAATCCATTTTAAAGATTCAGCTTTCATAAATGCCGTGGGATGAAAAGAACAGAAATACTAAAAATAATGTACTGAGCCAATTTTTACATGCACTAAGAAGCAAGATTAGAGTATAGAAAAACTAGTTGGAAATATGTAATTTTTTTCTTTAACAATAATTAGAAAAAAAATATTACATACATTTTGGTCATGTCTAATTTTAACAGGAGCAGTCCAAAGCGGCATGCAGAACTGGGTGTATAGAGATATATTGTCTGGAAAGACTTTGACCCAAGAAAAAAAAAGTTCTACTGAACCTTCTAGTCACAGTACTTAATAATAGATGTGCAAAACAAAGGAAAGAAGTCCAAAATTGTTATGTTAACAGACTTCTGTAAAAAGTAATTAGCTTCTTCATTCAAAGAAACAAATTCAAGCAATTGTGGGGTCAAAATTTGGTATTTTTCTTTTATAAGAAAAGCCTTTCTAAACCAATTAGAAAATGGCGATACGCCAAATAACACCTGTGAAAAGGCATAAAGAAAGAGGAAGTCCTAGAATAGCGGATCAAACTGAGCTGCGTATGAAACATCTGACTTCTGATTTAAACGTCCCGATGACTCTGTAGTCTCAGATGAAGCATTCAGCTTCTCAGCACGCAGGCTAACATTTAAGTTGTGTCTGTGCTAAGGGCTTTGCTAATTTTGAGCCTTCAGAAGTTAGCACCACTGGGGAAATACACAGAACTTCATGTCCTCAGCAGTTTTTGATGATTATTTTGCTGGGACAGGTGTGGTGGCTGACTTGTTGAGTGCAGGAATTTAGCCTGCAGCTGAACTGAATCTCACCTAGGATATGTCTAGATTACAGAAGTGTCAACAGGATTTGCATTAATTAATTATGGACTGCAAATTTCCTTATCTTAACCAGCATATAACTGGCTTTGAAGAATATAAAGCAGTCTTGTTAGTTAATATCAGGGAACACTATTTTGACATTGTTATTTAGTAATACTTGTGATAGTGATAGGGAGCATTCTCCCATATAGAATAAAAATAATTTTATTTGATTTAAAATTAAAGTTCACAGTGCTTTACAGCAGAAGGATGAGAAATGATCATTTTTTTAAGAAATATCTTTCTACAGCAATTGTCATTAAGAGAAAATACGAGTCATTATTGAGTTCCAAGTGTTTAGTTCATTCCCCAACTTGGCCTAGTTATTGTCAAATAAATTTCATTTATCTATTCATAATTACAGCCATAAGTTGCAGGGGTGTCAGAACTCAAGACAGGGAAAGAATAAATACCTTTGTGCATTAAGTCACTCATGGGGAGACAAAAGTATTAGCAAGTATTTCATATATCAACTAACTTTCTTTGACATTTATGAGACTGTAAGCTGAGCAAAACCTGAACTGCTTATCTCAGGAAAAAACTTGTAAAAAAAACCCCAACCGCTTCAGTAAATGAAAGTTCTACAGGAGAATTGTGGCATAATGAGAACGCATACAATGCTGCTTGATGGCATAATAAATCTTCCAAAACAGGAAAAAAATCATGTATCAATTTGTATAACTACAAGATCATATTTTGATGACAGTGTAGTCATCAAGAGACCACAAATAAAAAGGCCCTAAGAAAAGGCATATAGACATAAAGCAAAAACATGAGGAAGAAATGATTTCACCAGATTTCATACAGTCCTATTCAGTAGTAGCTTAATACAAAAAAATAAAGTGATGTGCCAAATGAATGCTTGTTGTTGAATACATAATGAAAACAGGTTAATCAAATTTCAATTCCAATTTTGCCTGAGTAAGGAGAGCAGGCTTGGGTCCATACTCCCTTGGTGAAAGTCCTATAAAAATAAACAATATCCATTACAGCTACTGCTGAAAACTGCAGGAAATATATTCAAAACTTAGTAAGATATCTAGAATACAGTATTCATTAGTAAAAGTCGAAAGAGATAACGTGATTCAAAATACAGTTATTTCTTCTGTGTAAACAGAACTTGGTAAAACCCTTGGAAACTTAAGAGAGAAAACAGCAATAAGCCTGTACACTTTCTCTCACAGAACACATACATGTGCTTTCATTAACATATGAACACACATGGTGTGTTTTGCACATATTTTTAACAGCAAAGGGAAATGATTCTAAAAGGAGTAAAACATTTTCCTATGAAAATAGTTATTCTAAAGTCAAATTGTGCTTAGGTGGTGACCTTCTATTTGTTGTGAAAACTTTTCTACTAATCGCTTGTCAAAAGCCACTCTCTGAGGTCTGACAGTAGTGAAGGACAGACACACACAAACGGTCCTAACAGTTGGGCATGACCGTACAATCAGTATTGGTCTTTTTTCCACAAATTATAAAAATATTTGAAGAAACAAAATCTGTGTCTTCGGACTTAATCTTTCACATAGTACTTCTGTAACAAAAAGTTAAAGCACACTTCACATTTGGGATACTAGAAAGATCCCCACCGTACCTTTGCAAAGACCCTTGTTTGGATGCTGCTACCACTGATCCTCTGTCACTGAAGTTCTACATTCACCCAAAGAACAGGCTATTTACCCACGCAACTACATGTCTGCTCAGACCTAACCAGCAATTCTGCCTTTTCAAGGAGAGCTGTACATCCCAGCGAAAGGTGCAGATGAGGTGGGTTTTTTTTTTGCCTTCTCTCTACCGGCAGCAGCAACAGAAGCTGGCTGGGACATCACAGCCGATCACCACAAACATCTCAAAAGTCAGATTCAAAACCATAAGAAACAGGAGCAGAGTAAGTTGCTGTGTGGGATCACGGAGACCAAATGAACGCAAGACTGTAGAGTAGGTTGAGGAGGAAGAAAAGTTATTGAGACTGACTGTCAGTTGGGAAATCTTGTGACAAAGCCCTGAGCTGTGAAGGAAGTTAGCTGGGAAGCAGTAGTATGGGAGGGCTGTGAAACTGTGGGTTTTTTTCTGAGCATTTCACATGGCATCTTGGTCTATAGTGGCTCAATTAAAGCAATACTATTTCACTGTGCAATGTGGTTTATGTTACATTTTTATGATATTAATACTACTACCTTTTAAATTAAAGAGTTTTAAAAATTAACAGAAGGCTGTTATAAGGTTACTATCTTGTTACTACTTTTATTTACTATGGACAGCTGCATTGGCCAATGTTACATCTACTTTTTTGTTTTTGTATGTCCCCAGGTTAAAAAACATAAAAAACTTGCTTGAAAGAACTGCAGAACAATTAACTGTGGATGGCATTTAGCAACTGCAGGCTTAAAATTCACAAGGTTGTACTTTAAAGTCTTGCAGCTTCTCACAGTATGTTAACAAAACTAAATGCAACTGCTTGATTTCTAAGTGTGAACGTTTCACAGGAGGAAAAAAAAAAAAAATCTGTCGATAAAGATCCTCACCATCATCTGAACACTCGAACTGGACTTCCTTTTCTGAATTGACCAGTCAGAGAGAAAGGAAAAGAAGAAAATGTGACTGGTTGGACTTGAAGTATCAATGCATGGAGTACAGTATATTTCTGTTTTGGCTTTTTTTTTTTTTTTTTTTTTTTAAGAAAAAGACAGCTTAAGCTGTAGGAAGGAGTGGAAAAATGCTATGGAGTATATAGTATCTCAATAACAGAAACGACAAAAATAGACTTCCCCAGATGTAAATTTACTCCCTTTGCTCCACATGAACATGCAGACAAGCAGCAGACACAAAATGTGCTGAAAACCAAAGTATCAAATCCCAACAAGTGTAATTTAGGCAAAATTTTGGCAACAATTATTTCCAATATTGTAATCAAAATTGAGATATAACAAATACCATTGTAAACCTGTAGGAGGAATGATATTTAAAAAGGAAAAGCTGGTCAGATAGAGTACATAAAATTTATATATTCCACAATGAAACATGTTAAGGGTTTTCCACAAGAATGATAGAATAGTACTGAATGTGTGCTTCTCCATATAACTAGGATATCTACTACTTGGTGGCAGCGAGAAGCATTGAAATTGTAGTGCACTCACTTCATTTTAAGTCAGTCTCATGATTTTTTTGATAGGAAAAGTGTGCATATGTGGGAGAACAGGAACAAATATACTATGAATCTGGTGTTTAGGTATACAATGTTTTGTTAAAGTTAAGATTAAATAGAAAATTAAAATTCAGGTCAAAGACACACTTCTGAGTAAACACACAGAGCACAGAAGAGTATCTTTTGAATCATATAATGAAAGCTTGAGGCACTTATTTTAGTCTTCAGGAGTCCTCCGAGAAAAGAAATAAAATATTTTTCATTTGAGTGATTTTTTTTTTTCTGGCTGTTTTTCAAAGTATTTATCCAGAACGTTCATTTGTGAAGCATCTCTCCTCCTTCAGGATCTGGTGACATGAGAATAGGAGCTCTAAATCATGTATGAAAGCTGCCAAAATGTTCCCTTCTTAGCAAGGTCTATTAGTCAGGATGAGCTGATTTGTTGAGATAGTAAAACCTTCAAGTTCTGCCAAATATAGCAAGTACATCTGGCAGAAAACACCTCATGTGGAGCCAAGCCTACCAGTAAACTTTTGGTCTTCCATGAAATCTAATACAAAGCCAAGGGGAAACATGGAGGCAATACAGCTGCAGATAAACACATACCTAAAAAGCTAACATGCCCACCACCAAATCATTATTTATAAGCTAATTAATAACATTGTGTCATTAATTACACAGTCATTCTTCATTAAAATAGAAAGAAAAGCATTTTCTCCAGTAGTTTTTTATCTTCCGCTTATTAAAATGCTTGGTTTAAACTATTTCTTTTATTTCCTTTTTTTAAGCTTCACCTACTAACTTTAATCACTTCAAATATACGATAAGAAGTACTTATTAACAAATTCTATAAAGGAAAGAAATAACAATAATCAATTCTAAAAACTGGCAGAAGTTATAGATAAGGTGGTGACTAGTAAAATATATTTTAAAGCATGTGTTTAACCTACCTTAACTCCATCCGGCTTTTTCAGTAAACTCTTGGCTGCTGTAAAACGAGACAAATAATTTCAGTGTCAGGTGGTTACCACCGAGGTCAACCAGCTGTGCAGCAAATCCCCACTGCCTCCCAGCTGCAGATACATTTTCAGCTTTTATTTCCTCCTTTTGTTGCTCTGAGTATAGGAAATGAAATACTTAAGAAACTACAAATACCTAAGATTATCATACATCTCTTTTCCTGTTGATTAAAGCTGTAGATTAACTGTATTTATACAAGGAGAGAACTCCTTGGGTGGCATAGAGGAAATGGAAGCAGGATGAGTGTGAAAGCAACAGCTTTGTATTAATTTTTTCAACTGCAGCATGTTTACAATTGTTGATGGTGATAGTTTGATGCAACCAGGAAAAAGCACTGTTCTGATGGCAGGGACTTTGACCAGGTGTTTGTAGAGCCCACTGGTATCTTAATCATGTCATTAATATGACAGTGACATAAAAGCAATCAGTATCAGACCAATGAGGTACCTGAAGAGCATAGGGAGCTACAACACCCAATGAAAAGTAAACTGGGTTTTTAAAAAAGCACCTCTGCACAATGATTCTTTGGGGATTTCCCACCACAACAGCATCAGTCACCTTGCAGGAAAGTTGCAAATAAGAAAGGAAGTACAATCTACTAGCAAAGTGTTCTCTTGGAGGAGTGCTTCCCAGGAGTTAATAAATGGTGGGCTTTGCTTCATCTTCTAACGAAGAAAACTTACTATTTCTGAATCATGTTGCACACCAATCAAATTTCTTCAAAGTGGTGGGGAATGCTGGGCAAAATTTCACTAGCTGTAACATTATCCACGTGTTAGGCTTTAAATTCCACCACTTAAAACTAGCACCAAGAAAGGGGCCAAATCATTCCAAATTACTAAATTTGGAGGGCTAATGTGCAAACAAGCACATCGCAGCTCTGAACTCGAAAACCTTGACAGCAGAAATACACGCTGGGTGACGTACCAAATTCGAATCAACTATTCACTAAAGCGTAAATGCTTCGTGACTCACTGGCAAAGACTTGAAGAATAATAAATTACAAAACAAGCCTGGTGTTTTTTGTTTTTATTGTCGTTTATGACCCACTCTTCCTATCAGAAAGTGTATCACAGCTTCGGTTGTAAGAAAGTGCTGTTCTATATACACTGTTTTGCTTAGAAATAGGAAGTCTTTTTGAACGGAAAATACTGCAGCTAACGATCTGGCATAATCAAAGGGAGACAGTTCTGACAGGGAGATCCTATCATTACTGCTACCCTTCTTTTTAAAACAAAAAATCCCCGAAACATTTTGACTTGCAAGCTTAAGGTTGCTCAAACTAGCTGAGGATATTGGAGTTATTGAGTATGTGGTTTAAACCTGAAGTTAATTTTTGTATTTGTGGCTTATTCTCCAGTTACATCTGCATTAAGTGCTCATTTAGCTCTGCTTCAGAGCACAGAAAATCTAATATCACCTCAGAAACTCAGAAATAACTGATGTCCACTACTGTGTTGTTTACATTAAAAAAACTGGAAAGTGAAGACACGTTATTGTTTATAATTTCATGAATATATCAGCCCTCCAAATTCAGTTTATTAATTATGGATGTCAGGCTACACTGCCATTAAAACTCCCACAAGGCCCATCACTTACAACTAAAACGAACAAAAATTAATTTGCCTGTGTTATGCAACAGGAACATTGCATGTTTTTATTTACAGAAATATAAATTAATACTGAAAATAAATTGGTTTATGTATATTTTTGAGATGAGATCCATCCTGTTGCAATGTGTGCTTACAGGACCTGGCAGAACATGGCCTTAGATTTACGCTACCACTAATATCGTGGGCATTCCATTAACTTCAGAAATTCACTTAGGGGAAGCAAAGAGGAAGATCTATTTCTAAAATCTAAGGCCAAAAAAACCCAGAAGTTCATTGTTTTCAAAGCCTGTTTTATACCGTTAGCCTTTACAAAAATATGGGAAAACATAAATTATTATAGGCTGCTCTTCATAACAAACTAGGTCCTTTTGCTAAATTTGTGCATAAAACTTCTGAGTTCTTTTAATGTTTAACAAACATTACATGTTATATGTAAACAATTAAATGAAAGCCAGTAAAATGAGGGCACCAAAAGCAATAACTACAAGTATTGTGTTTACGGCGTTGCCAGCATGTCCTTCGAAATGTGCCTGGTAAGGATTATTATGCAGTATTTTATGTTATAGGACATATTCCACACTCAACTGCCTTTGTTGGTTTTGGCTTGGAACGTATTTTTAATAATATTTGATGCATCTTTCTTTAAGCACAGATACTGCATACAAATCAAATATTTAAAGAATTTGCAGTAGCAAAGCAATTAGCATATTCTAAATTAAGCCCACAACAAAAGATTTCTTGCAACTACAAGCAATAACTATAAATAAGGCAGCGCTAATAGGCCAGAAAGCAGACTGAAAAGAAATGGTGTTGTAACAACATGTAGAAATTAAAGTGATTTAGGACAAACAGCAATTTTGATTTAGAAGAGAAAAAAGATGTTCCTTTCACGTGCTGAGGGTCTTACCTCACAAGAAATATATATTCCACATAAAAGGAAGAAAGAAAAAGGAAAATAAAACACTTTTATAACCACATTGTTATGGACAAATGACCTTCAAAAGCATGCTCTGCAATGAAAGACAATGAATAAACAACTTGAAAAAATAAAATGTCATCAAGGAAAACCATGGGTCATTATGGTACAAAACAGAGATGATAGGTGAAAAAAATCCAAAACAAAGCCAAAAACCCTGTTTGCTTTTCATGCTGAAATACTATTTTAAAATTACTTCAGCTCTTTTTGGTTCATGAAAGTTGAAATTGACCCTTACATATATAGACAGTGACAGTTATGAAAAGTGATGAGAAATGATATAAGTTTGATATTTAATAATTCATTTTTACAAGACACGCAGCCTACAGCATTCCCACCTTTGAAATGAACTGGCAGATACCGGCAATTCATTAAGCTTTAACCCAATGTAATTCATGTCAATGTAGTCTCCTGTCTTACAGGTATGTATTAAATATAGGAACCTAACTAGGAAAGAAATTGTATTTCAAGTAGTATGCAAATTGAATAAGTTGTTCTTGCATTCATGCTTATGTAATTTATTTTGGATGATTCAGTGCTTATTATTTTATTCAAAACATGCCCAAAGCACTAGCATGTTTCTGTCTGTAAATTAATTTATGTTACACTCCAACAGTTACATCACAGAGTGGGAGAATATGTCAAATTACTGATTTTAAAATTTGGCATTCTTTTTCACTATTCACTTGAAATCTCAAACGGCAAAATGAAAAATTCAGCATAGCATCAAAATTTTGGCAATACTGCTATTGAGGACAATTCTAACTCCACGAACAGCAAACTTTATTTTAGCTTTTGCTATTAAAATTTATTTAGTATAAAGATCTAAATCTCCAGGTATACCACTACAGAGTTATTTCATAAAAAGGAAACATCTCTTGTTATATCAAGCTGGGCATTAGAAAACAAGGAAAAGGAGGACTTATTTTACCACATTTCTTACTCCTTAGCGAAGCAATAAAGAATGAATGTGGGGTTTTTTTTTGTGTTTTTTTTTTTTTTTTTTTAAACACAGGATGCAACAGAACCCTGGAATGACATTTCAGGTATATAAAAATAAGTAAGTTTTAAAATGTTGTTTGGTGATACTTATGCATGTGGAGCTATATGCAGTATTTTCAATTTTCCTCCACCAAAATAGACAGGAAAACACTGTCTTTTGACAGATAACACTAAAAAAGTAAAAAGAAAGAACTCACATTCTACTGAACAATTAGACTGTCATCTACAAGAGACTATTTAGCCCATACGGTTTAAATTCTCCTGTTTGCTTCTGCAAAGGAAACAACTTAAGATATATCATATTAAGATGCTCCTGAATAACAAAGATCTTTCTCTACCAATGAATTCTAGTTAAATCTTAGTCATCACAGATATAAAAACATAAAGTCCATATTAATCTGGAGCTCAGTGAACATACCTGAGAAATTTCTGGTAGCCAGCATAGTTGTCAAAATGGCCCCCTGTGTACACATACATTTTCTCAAATTAGTATCACACTCGTGTAAAATTCTGAATGTGAACATGACACAACAAAAAGGAAAACACACGCGTAAATTACATCAATTACTAAATTAATCCTGAAAGAATGGATTGTCTGCGCATTACCTATCACACGTGATGCCATAAGTGCATAAACTGTAATTTAATTGTAATTACACACCTATCAGCAACCCTGATAATCTCAAATATTTACCAGTTGTACAGATATTTACCAATACGCACAAGCTGTAAGTACTCACAGGCACAGTAATTATCAGCAAAATACATAGCTGAATACGAAATAGACTTCACTAACATGCTTAGATTCTTTTTTAGGTAGGAAGAGGAGTTTATCCATAATGTGCTAATTAGAAAAGTTCACATCTGCAAAGTTATCCTGTCTGGCCAGGAGAAAACAAAGGATAATCTAAGAGAATAACCTTACGGATTTTCCTTCAATGAAATATTTTTAATGTGTATAAACGAAAATGATTGTTATTATTATTTCGAATCCAAGAAGATGATATTGTGTTCTATTCACTTTCATGAAAAGTTTAAGATCTTCCTGCCAAAAGCTGATCATCTCTCAAATAGTTCATTTAAGCATAATATTAAAGAAAAGAATTGCTTAGGGACCATTTGTTTACATATGGAACACAAGCCAAGATTCTTTTATCTTTCCAAAATTAGCTACTCATCCTTGCACAAGTTTTCATTCTTACCTTTAGTTTTCTTCTTGCATTGAATTTCTTCAAGCAATCTACAGTCTCTTGTCTGTGCATCATAGAGGCAACAGTAGAACGTTGCTAAGAGAAGAAGAAAAGAATCATTTTAATACACCCAGACAGACATCTAGCATTTTATTCACTCTACAACATACATATTACAACCCACATGGTCCAAAACACAGGCCTTTAATTTCTACCCTGTCTGACTATTCATTTGTGAAGGTTTCTACACACTTGGGACATTTCCAAATCAACAAAACCAAGGTCTCATTTTACTCTGCCTTTTCCATGTGTAAACTCCTCTTGAAAGAAACAGGGACTAAGAAAAACACAAAATCTTAGAACTTGGGTTACGCAGTATAAACATAATCAAAGTAATATACTGAACTATGATTTTGGAAAATACGTTTTAAAACAAGAAGGAAACTTTTCTTTAATACTGGTGATATTAGGTGAGGTACAGCAGCAGGAAATATTTCCAAGAAAATTCAGCAATACCTGCGTTTTCCCTATAACTCAACTTTATTTGCATCACAAGTTTAATGGCAAGATAATGCAGCCTACTGGAGTGAATAAAGAGTTGCGAACCAGCTATGTGTCTCACTGTGACTTTCAAAGTATCGTCCCAGACTACCTGCAAACTCTAAGTGTAGAATGTACTGAGAATTGCAAAGCAGTCCTGGATCCAGTAACAGAAAGGCAGCCACTGCTGCCTGCAAACTGGCTTTTTAAAAGTCCCTTAATTTCCTGCCTCTACATTTCATACTTACCACAATGGTTATAGAGAAATGAAGATGTAGAGCATTACCTAACTCAAAGTTACTTTCTTGTACACTTGTTCTCAGCGAATGTAAAATAATGCTCTAATTTTGGCAGTGAACCTCTGCACCACAAAGTCAAGGCAAAGGAATTCATTTCTGCAAAAATCCCAGGCTGAGACCTCAATATATGACACTCTTGACTGTATCTGTATAATTACAATTTTACACTCCCCTAGTTACATAGCTGCATGAGTAAGGAAAAAAATTATCCTCTAAACACCTTCCCTATATGCCAAAGGAAACCATAAGCTGGTTTGTCTGCCAAATTATCCTGTTAAATGCGTGGAAATCACTTACACAGATCCATGGATGCTTTAGTGCTTCTGATGCTGTGATACGTTTTGCTGGGTTGATGGTAAGCATTTTGTTGATAAGGTCTTTTGCTTCAGGAGTCACTGTATCCCATTCAGGTGAGGGAAACTTTAGAAAAAAATACGTATGTGCATATTACCTTGTGCAATCTTTACACAATTTTATGTAAGTATTTTATTGATACTATTTCTGCAACATTAATTGCTAGCACAACTAACGAGTTTTAAGGGGGAAAATGCAGTTTGCCACAATTAGAAAAGTTTGAATTAGCCAGTTTTTTTAAACAACGTTTTTCTCCTTTACTATTTTGTCTTTTTATTTATTTGGTTCAAATGCACAGCATTTCTACATTTACAATAACATAATGCCAACTGAAATTCACAGCATAAATAACCATGGCAGACACTGAATATATCAGCATAACAAATTACAGTCATCTGAGGGGCATATCGTCATATAGCACTTAATACAGTCCTGGTTTCTCTTTTAATATAGAAGTCAAAAATATTAAGCATTATTATTCAAGCTCCTTGTTTTCTTTCTTTCAATGTAAATCGTAATGCTAACTGTATAGTTATGGTATGTAAATTTAACTAGTTACGAATTTAACACCTCCCTGCTCAGCAAAATGTTTATACTTTCACCCAAAGCGTCTGCTTGAGTGCAAACGGGATGAAAAAAAGCCCATGTCTTATACTGCCCTTGTGAACAGACCTCAACCTTGAGGATTTTGTGCTCTCCACTATTACAAATATTTATTCTTAGACAATAGGAATTTGATATTATCCAGGCACAAGTATGTACTATGTATGTACAATGCAGATGCACAGTTCAGTCTCTGCACTTCCTCATTTCTTGCCCTCTTGGCTGAAATCATAATTCCCTGCTGTCACCCTGCTTGTTACTGTACGATTCCTTGTTCTCTAGGAAGAAGACTTGACAGACTGTAAGTTTGTTTTCACTAAAAGGCCATAGCATAACAACTCCCTTTTCAGCTGTCACCGTCCAGGACTGGAGTCAAATAAGAGCTTAAAAATTATAAGGTTCTGTCTTTTCCTCTTCATCGTTCACAAACTACTTAAATCTGAGGACCAGCAGCCTTCTGTCTGTTTAATGTAATACAAACAGATAATGTTGCAAACTTCATAATGTCACCAAATCATCAGTTCTTACTAATAGCTGTAATGCTTTTTGTTGGAATACACATAGTTAATGAAACTATTCCTTCTGAAAAGCTTTATAGCAGCTTGTACTTCCAAAAGTGGGCAATACAGCAACATCAAGGTGCGTATTTAGGAAGATTAAGATTTCTTAAAAATAATTTAGAATAACTGATTTGTTGTTTCAGTTGATAAAAGACAAGGAAAAGCACAGGCCCTCGGGAGTTCAGAGGTCTAAACAGGCTTGTCGGGATAGCATAAGCTTGCGTGGTTTATACAAGGACCAGACATAGAAATCTTGGTGCCACAGGGAAATTATATTTTAATTAGCATAAGACATTCCCATCCCAATAAGTTTCATGTTGCTAAAGCGACATTTACTATATTGAGTGGCTCATATAGACATGCAATTGAAAAAAAGTTTAGGAAATAATTCTAATTTCACTTTCGCTCTAGAAAGCTCGTATTTAGAGGTAGAATTATAAATAATTGAATAGACCGAGTATGGTACATACATCGTAAGCACCAGCCTTGATCTGCTGGTAAAGCCTGTGCTGGTCTTCATCCCAGAAAGGAGGATATCCCACCAGGAGGATATACAGAATGACACCTGCACAAAATTCACAGTAGTATTAAGTGATTTTTAAGAAACAGACCCCAGAAATTCATTTCGTACCTGACAACCACGTAAACCAAATGGCTCGACAGTATTAACCCAGCTACTGAAAAATACTGCCTGTTTGTAATGGAGAAAATAGTAAATGCAGGGTTCACAAGGCAACCTCCTATGCAGGGTGTGGGCAATAACAAGTATCTGACACATCATCAGATCAGGAACACTGCATATGTCCAGCTAGCTGCAGAAATAATTTTCGGTGATCATGGATGTTGTAGGAAAACACATTGTTTACCTCTGGTTTTATCATGGCTTGTACTGGTGTCTGTAAGATTGTGTTTTAACTAATCTCATGCAAAGAAAATTTGGGCAACTCAGTTTATCTGTATAAATACATGGTCAATAGGAAATTAAAAAGTCTGTCTGCTTGTCTTTACAGAGGTGATTCACTATGACTAGAAAAGTGCTTTCATAAATACAACCAGATAAGCGTGGGTAGAAGTAAAATAAGGAACAACCAATTGTTTTCAGCTAGGTAGCTGCCACTTGCCAGTACCTTAAACTATACTGTTTCAAGAAGTGGATGATAAAGTATCTGCTCTGTACTCCAGTTCATAAAACATTTAGTCTCACAGTTTAAAACTGCAGTTCTAGTATATTGGTCAGATCAGACTTTAGGCTGCCTGTGCACCACTACTAAGGCTCATCTCACAGTATGAATTGTTATGTTTTTCTAACTAGTTAGGCATCATGCACCTGCAGCTATTTTTTTTAATACTTTATGAAAGTGTGTTGTGTCAACACGGCCAAGAATGCCACAGCAATACACCTTCACAAATAATTAAAAAAACCCCAAACTGATGCTGGTAGAAAAACAAAAAATCTGATGACCTCTTCTAAAAATGAATATTGAATTTTACTAAATACATAGTATCTGATGCAGAATATAATGTATTTGGACATCACCCATCTCCCTCAAAACACATTATGGTGGACTGAACGTTGTCTTTCAGAATAATTTCTTACCACATGCCCACATATCCACAGGTTTTCCATAAGGATCTTTTCGTAACACCTCTGGAGAAAGGTATCCTGGAGTACCAGCAAAGCCTGTCAAAAGGCAAGGCAACTATTCTCAAAAGATGTACGTGCTCTGCAAAAATCAAGTGATTCTCATCTCAGCCCACAAGACACAGGACATTATTTCCCAAGACATCAACCACCAACCACTTCATCTGGAACTTTTCTTTTTATGACTTATCACCTAGAAGTAATAATAATGGGGATGCTTGTGCAGGCTTGGCACACCCCGTTCTGCCACCACGGCTGGTACAGTTGAGAAGACAGCAAAAAGCCGGCTGGTTCCCCATCTAAGCTGGCGCTGCAGGTTCAACAGCGGTGTCAAGGATCTGGTGACAGTGCAACAGGGGAAGCGTTCCAGAAAGCTTACAAGATAGCTGACGAAATTTCTTTCATGACTTCTGCATTACTGCAAGCTGTAGCGAGACAGCCAGTAGTGAGGTGCAAATGCATTTGGCTCAGGGCCAAGGTCAAAAAAGTAGAGTAGGGGGAGTGTGGGAAACGTTATCTGAGTGATCCCCTTGGAGGTTCTAACTGAAAGACAGAAAATTCACAGCATGCATGCCAAAGACTTGCTGGGGTTTTTAATCATTAGCCTAATTTAGGCTATTTTAAAATAGCCCCAAACTATAAAAATTAAGACTGTAAACATGACTTGCATGGGATTTCTGGGAGTCCATCAGCTGTCAGCTGTGGAGCCTGTTACCACACGCAGAGTACTTCCCCTGACATTTTTTGGGAACTAATTAACAAACAAGAGGGGCAGCCAAGCTACAGCACTGTAACTATAAGGAGCATGTAAAGAACTCTATTCAGTCTTATGGGAGGGCACATATCTCAGTAAACAACACGTAGGGCTAGATTTAAGGAAAGCCTATGTACGGAGCGATCTCTCGTTTAGAAGAAAAAAGGAAAGTAAAAACACTATTCAAATTTCTTCACACAGAAATAGAAACTCAATTCAGCCAACGCCAGATGGTGGCAACGTAAATGTTCAGAGACGTTCAGGATTACTTTTCACAAGAGCACAACTGAATATTGCTTAGTATGAAGATCACCAATTTGGGGCTCAGCCTTCTCACAACATTTGCTGTTCCTATTTTGCACAGCTACTTCTAATACAAGCCTTCCACTGCAAAACTAATTTCCGTCAAGTCATTCTACTTCTGGAAACTTCCTTATAAAAGTCCACAAAAAGCATCTCTGAAGTAATCTAGCCTTTAAAATTTATATGTTCTTCATTCTTTATTCATTACCAGCAGTGCTTCTTTCTCTTACGAGAAATGCAAAATGCAGATATAACTGTAGACTGTTCTTAGGACACCATGATAAAAACTTAATGACCAATAACATTCTGTACCATTTCAGTTAGTACATCTGTTCTTTCAAGCATCTTTGCCTCTAATAAGTGCTTGGGAATTCTTGAAAGGTGAGAATTTGGTGGCTTTCATGAAGGACCATGAATGACCACATGCCATCTCTGAAATACCACACTGGATTCCACAAAACTTATGAGACACGATGATAACGTATAAAGTGTACAGCTACAGAAAAAGGAAGCCTTTGCCCCGCAGCTGGCAATCACTTTAGAGTGGGAGGAGGAAATGAAGGAACACATTCTGTATATTCTACTGAGAACACAGCTAAAATACTTTCATGAAAATAAGCTTGGTTTTTGCAGTCTCCTGATATGAGAGCTATTAATTGTTAAAGAGTACTATCATACAGGAAACACATCTTAAGCTCCTTTGAGAAGCTGAAAAAGTATGTTCTAGGCAGCTTTAAATAGAGTGATGTTTCATATCTCTTCTTGGCTGTAGTGCTCTACGTTAATATTTTTGTTCATTTTAAAGGGGAAGTAAAGTTATCTCAACTTTCAAACTTACCACGGCTCCATAAACACTACTATGCATCACTTTAAAGCAAAAATTAATGTAGTACTTAGCTAACTCTCTCTCGATGAAGATACAGAGTGGGTCTAAACAGAAACAATTGGTATGGTTTAAGTACATATTCTGAAGTTGTTTAAAGCAGCAAACAGAAGAGTACAGTCACGATTTCAGTGAAAATGAAAAACCATACTGAAATTGTTAACTGTTATTTATCAGGTAATTCTATGAACTGGTCAGAAGGATCCCAATACGAGTGTGTACTGCCCAGAAAACTATTGCTAATAGGAGTAATTACTTCAGTGCAAACACCTTGCAAAGCTAGAAACTGTGACTGTACAGTGTTTAGAAAGACTTCATCACCTTGTACTCCTGTCATTGCATGACTTAAATAAGCATCCAGAGGCCCAAGACAAATGCTGTGCTTTGTTGAGTTCAGCGGTGCACGGGTACGTGAGACGGCCTGTTACTTGGCCTAAACAGCTTACAGTCTCAAAACCCTCTTAAGCAAAGATTACATATATACTTAACTTCATAAATGGCGAGCACATCTCGAGTCAAACCTGGATTGAAGGTTAACTATAATCCCACAATGTAAACTTAAATTAACGCAGAGAGATGAACCTTAAACACACAGCAGAAGAAATAAGTGCTCTAAAACCTGCCCTATGCTTTCATCACTCCCCTGCTAGACTTACAGTCTTCTTAGCACCATTCATGCAAGGATTCTAGAATAAAATGACAGAATAAACCACGTTAGTTTAAATAGTGTAAGCTGTACAACTTCGCTAACATACCTCCCTTTGACTCAAGAATAAAAATTCAAATGAGCAGTCTGGTGAGAAGATGTGGAGAAGGTGGCAGCAAGGGGCAAAAGCAAGACAGGGCAGTAGCTTTCTCTTCCTACACAGCCGGATCCAAACAACTAACTGTATACAACCTGAATTTAAGGCAACTAGCAAACTAATTCAGTGAAGCTACTCAAATGACTTAAGTGGTGCATATTTTAGTCCTAGTTGCAGGGCTGGACTTAATTTGAGGTGCAACTAGGACTAAATCTAGCTACCAGCGAGTTAACTGCAGTCTGTCCACTGACTCCAGGAGAGGCAATGAGTCACCTGCCTGGGTGAGTCACTGGAGCCGGCCTGACACTTTCCCAGTGCGTTAAACACCTGCTAGCAGGGTGGGGTGTTCCAGCTAAACCCTGTAACACTTTCTACAAACAGGCAAGGAACAGGTTTGTTGGACAAATACGCAAACCAGGAAAGTATTCCGTTGCATCCGAACACATGGAGCTCTAGCCGGTTTACTGCTGAAGCATAGCCACAGTTTAAGCAGGAAAGCGACCTTCACACTAGAGGACTACACCCAAAGAAAAAAGAAAAGGAAAACATACTGATGCAGAGTTATAATTAGAATCAGAGCACACCATGAGTCACTAAGTGCTGCAGAATCCAGTGGAACGCAGAAAAACCTTCTGGAAGCAAGCAAGAAAAAGTTCAAAATGTCGAGCACATCGGAGTTCATGTTTTGCCTTGTTAAAGCAGTTATAAAGATGAAGGCACTCAGACCGTTAAGGAAAGGTTTTGCAGAGAAGTTCCAGAAAAGGTACAGAACCCACTAGTCTCATCAAATACCACAAGTCAAAAAGAAGAGCCACGTTAGACTACTTTCTTTCTATTACCTTGCTGCCAGCTTACCTCTTCCTTATATATTTTGAAGACATTCTGTTCAATCTCCTTTCTACCAAGTTCAGCACGGCAGTTCTCATGACACTACGAGTCTAAACCAAGCACTTCACAAGAACCAAATGACCAAAGAGTAAACTGTAAGATTTTAGAGGGATTTGCAACTTCCTGCACATCATCTGCATCCATACAGATGTACCAGCTAGAGAAAATATCCCTGAAGCCAAGTTCATTCTGCTGAATTTTTTTCTCGAGATGCTTCCTGTTTACCTGATGTTTTTGTCATTATAACAAATCCCTTGTGTTTTGTCTTATTTCTACTCCACTCCTTTTGTACTGGTCTATTCGTTAATGTGCAAGAGCAATCTCCTCTGTCTTTTGTGGATTACTGAAATCCATTTATATAAAGGCTGGATTTATAACAACAGGCTAGCTTATCAAGCTACCGACATATGTCCAGCGGTACTGCCTGTGCCTCTGCATGTAGTTATAGCCTAGATTTCAAACACTCAACCACTCAACCCACTGCCTGCATAAAATCCTTCGTACTTTTATTCTAAGTTCACAATCACTTTGTTCAATTTTAAACTGTGCTTTCTAGCTGCTGTAAGTGAGAACAGGTAGCTGCTATAAATATTTTATTCTGTATTTTTCCCCCTGGGATTTACAATAAATTTTGTCCTGTGCTTCACATCTGTTCAAAGAGGGTGGTATGTGAGATAGACGCATTGTTTGTACATGTCCTATTATTTAAAATGACCAGTATTCAATCTTTTCCACTATTTTCCTTTGGGCATCTGTTAACCGTAACACAGAATCTGCAATTAGCAAATTTTTTATAAATTAACAAAGAAAAAAAGCAATAATTTAGTGGAACTGGAGAGAAGTGGACAATATTTAACACACTACTCCCTATCCTGTTTTTATAACCCAGAGTGGAGCATTGTACAGGACAGGTAAGATACATTCCATGTATTGATTCTGGAGACCCTGTTTACGCCATCAGTTGGCAGCTTCAGGAGGGCAGACACCCTCCCTTTCCAACATTTCATGAGCAGGTCTGAAACACAAAATGTGCTCTCTTCTAATAGTCAATACGCCCACAGAGAGTTTGCTTCCACTTTCCCACACATATTTGCCACCTTCACCATCAAGCAAGCACACTCTAGATCCCTTCCAGTTGAAGATAATGTTTTCAAAAATGACTGAAGCGGCTGAGAAACTCCAGTCACAACTTCAGAAGATGTTTGTAAGCTGTGGGTAGACAGCCCTTTCCAGACTATTGTCTGGAAGGTTCCACGTGCTTTTAACCACCCTTTACCTTCCTGGGTTTATGCTCTCCATGATCTACTACAAGAGTTGTTTATATATTAATGACAGTACACTTTTAACAAGCCTGCGTATTTTGACCTCAGTGAATCAAAACCAGTTTTATGTACAGTTTCACCTGCAGGTGTGAAGGAGCAATCACCTCTAGGACAGCAATATCGACAGCGAGGACAGAAAACTTGTGCTGTCACAGCAACATCTGGATGTGGATGACTACAGCCTCAGGTGCTCAAACCCCCTTTTGTTTTGTTCATACAAGTCACATTCCAAAGTGGTTCAGAATAAAACTTTCAGGTATTTCCAGCTGACAGACAACCATTCAGGTAAAATGTTTCGACAACAGGGGAGGCTGGGCAGTAAACTCAGCAGTACTAACCTACAATCTTACTCCTCAGTCACCCGAGCACCGGACTGGAAGCCACCCATCTCCCTCTCAGGCTCTACAACCATATTTCCTTCCTCTAGACACACAGGGAAAAGCAGGGGAGAAGGGGCTTGTGTGCATCTACGTCTCAGTCAAGCTTACAGGCTGACAAAAACTAGGAGAAGCCAGGAATCAGGAAACTGAAGTTGCAGGGTTAAGAAAGTCAATGTCATTTGGACTACATGCCAAAGGGCCATTTGTAAATCTCTTCTTACTTTAAGCATGAATCTAAAAACCCTGTCCCTCCATCCTACCCCAGTACGGCTGCACTGGCAAAATCCCCAGTATGAACACAGCTGTGCCAATAGAAGACGACTTTTGCCAATTTATTTTTATATTATTTGGTAAGGTGATTTATCTTTGCTAGTGAAGAAGAGGCTGAGGCAAAGCCACTTCTTGTCTAAGTGAGCTCTGAGATTTGGAAATGTAGTCATTTTTGAAGTGTTGGGGGATCTTTGTTTGTTTTTCTTTTTTTTTTTTCTTTTTTTTAAATGAATAAGGTCTGCTGCCAAGCTCTATTTAATTCGGTGAGAATTACAGATAACATTCTTCCTGGAGAAAAAGGTCTAAAGTGTAGTCAGCTGTAGAGACTGAACTACGAACAAAATACCCCTTTAAGCTACATATCAAGTAGTCACACAGCCGCACATTTTACACTAAGGTGAGAGTTGGGCAGTTTGGGAGGCTTTACTGCTAAGCTGAACAAATGGCGAGGGGAAAAAAAAAAACAACCTTACTTACCAAACCAAGCCTGTTGTTCTCCTTGGACTTCTATAGCCAATCCAAAGTCTGCCAGTTTTACTGCTGCTCCCTTGGATTTGCTAGCTAAAAGTAAGTTCTCAGGCTTTATTCAGAGAGAGAAAAAAATTGAGATGAAAAGGTAAGTAAATATATTTTAGACAGTTTTTCACTTTTTTTTTTTTAGTTACGGTAGTCTGGAAAAGAACAAATACTTAGAGGAGTGAAAAAGAGAAAAATCCCACGCGTTTTCTCCATGACATTGCAAAAATTGCACTTTCCATTCCTACTTGGAAAGAACCACCAGGCCTGTAAAGAGCCTTCATGATCCCATGATAGCAAGGCTAAGGAGCGTGTGCAGATCTACTAGAGAAGGAGGTTGGCCAGAATGGTCATATGGAACTGTGACACCTGTCTGTGTGATAGGACAGTTCAGAGACTCCTAAGAGCTCACTACCAGAAAAACGCTGTGGAAAAACCCCAAGAGACTTATTCTTTGAGTACTAGCCTAACCTACGCCGTTTGCAGGATTAGGCATCTCTAACTGTCAAACATAACTATGTTCTGCATGACAGCTTAACAATAACAGACATATTATTATATTTCTACGTTAAGGGCAGGTGTGTTGACATTGCAAATCTTTCCATGCCCACATTTGTGCTTGCGGAGAACCTATTACAAATAACAACGTGAGTTTGCAAAAGTTCCCACTTTGCTTTTTTTTTTCTGGGTATGTTGGTCACATCTGAAATCAAATGCTACAGTACACTCTCAATTAAAAGTAAAGGATTTGCACATAACAATGGTGTTCATTCTACTATTCATAATGTATCCTTTTAACTTCATTTAGCAAATACATCAAATGCAAATTGTCTAAAGATAACTTTATTCTATGAACCTTAACTTTAAAAAAGAAGAAAACTTACAAAATACTGTAGAATTCAGTGGATTATTTCAAACAGCTGTGACCCGTATAGTATTTTCTTGCCATTTCTTTCTTTTCTATCACCTTTATTTTTAAAAAAGGTTTTGTTCTACATTTACATAATAACAAAACCTTGCTTTCAAGGGTATTCCTGTGACTCTTCCAGAAGCAATTTTTGTAGTGTATCCAGTCTGGCACTGGGGGCCCGATCCTGCAAACTCTTAAACACATATTTCATTTTAAATCCAGCAGCAATCATATAGGCTTCCAATGGACTATTCATGTGATTACAGTTAATCCCATGCATGTATTGAGCTTGGAAACAATTAAGATCATAAGCTTCTTTCAGCAAAAGCTACCTTTAATACACGTGTCAAGTATCCAGCAAAATATGCTTGAGCCTAATTAAGACGTCAACCACTGTGACACTTCTATTAATTAACTACACAACCGGCCCTGACAAACTCTGCACTCTAAAGGTGGTTTTGCCCTCTCACCAAACTGTAAAGGAACGTAGAAAGGACAGCATTAAAAACCTTTCATCAACAGTTGATGAATCTTCTATTTCCACATAGAAATCGAGACTAAGGTCTCTCAGGATAAAATATAATCTTTATATTGATCAAAATTATCAGTAACCACTTCAACTACATTCTAGCAAACACTGACTGAATACAGAGGACTCTTCACTAGGTTCATCAACACTGATTTAAGCCAATATCACGCTGCTTGTCATTTAACTACACCAATTTCAACATACAGTCACTTGGTTCTTGAAGGTTTCCTATCAGAGAGACAGAAGTTTACAGTAATTACTTCCTGGAATGCACGTCTTCTGTAAACCTCTTAAAGCAATGGATGATCCTATTTGGTTGTGACCTTCGGCAAGCCAAAAGCAGTGAAATGCCTCACCCTCTTGGTTGAAACACAAGCACTAACCTACCAAGCGCATACCGCTTCACAACACGTGATTCCATTCAAAACGGTAGTTTTGGGTTTTCTGCTGCTGGTTTTTTTTTTTGGTTGAGGGTGTTTTTTTTTTATTTCCCTTGGGATTATTTTTTCTTTTAAATTCCTTTACATGTCTTTACTCTGCCAATCACAGTGCTCTGCAGAAATACCATTGTCACAGGTATGTTTCAACAGAAGCTGAAGCAGATTTCCTGATTTCTGCCAAAGACAAAAGCCTTTTGGGCAATGTTGTGTGGGACTGGGCGCTGAAACAACATGCAGCTGCCATTTCAGCATGACGAGAGGCATACTAGGCAATTATCATGCATTAACTTAGAATGACTGCAATTACTTGGGAAACATTAACAGCCCAGCATGGGCCACTCAGGACTCGTACTTTGGATTCAGCAGTGTCACCTTGTGTTACCGGTACACTGGCTGCAGCCAAGCATGCAGAATGGCAGTGCTAACTACTAAAATTACTTACAAATAAATTAATGTGATTTATGCCTTATTTTTCTAAAGGTCTCTAATTCTCAGAGATCAATTATGCCTCTGTGTATTTTCCCTTGCATTTAACTAGAGCATTCGCTATTGGGGGGGAATGCAAAAGGGTCATAATCATAGAGTTTCATAAAAGCAGCAATGCTGCTGACCGCCAAGAACTGGAATTCCTACACGGAAGTGCACTTTTACCATCTGTCAAAGACAGACTGCCACGAACAGGTTAATTTTTTCTGGATCTAGGAACCGCCACCATTCTGACTTACACTGAGGATTACAGAGCAGCAACAAGCACTTCTGCAGGTCATAAGAGGCTGCAAATGCTCCCCTCTGTTTACTGCTAAATTACGCTAAAAGGAAAGTTAAATAAAATGAGATTGTCCAAAGTCTCTTCCTCTCGTTGTCCTCCCCACCCCCAAACATGCCATGAAATTGTGGTCTGAGTTATCGGAAAAAACATCCATCAAGTTTTGCAGTTTAAGGATCCATGCCAGGCCATAACCATCTTCTGCATGCCTTGTAGTTCTGGTCATGGGCCTTGGCATCTTTTTTTCAGTACAGAGAGATCTGCCGGGATTTCACCAGCATCTTTCATGTCACTCTTCGGGTTCTTTCTTTTGCCACAAAATAATTGAAGAAGGATGGTTTTCTGCTTCCTGAAGTTTTCATTTTCAGAAATGAAACCGGGTACTACAGCTTGGCAGAAACATATTTTCTCACACTGTTTTTCCAATTCATCCTGGATTTGCCAGAGTAAGAAATCCACACATGGTTTGGAGCAGGGAAGAGCTGGATTTAATGCATTTCCAAAGAAAAATTATTTAGTGTGAATGTATGAAAAGTACTAGAAAGCATTCCTTATTCTGCCAGCTTGCATGGCTACAACACTCTTTTTTCGATTCCTTTTCACGCTAGAAGCATAGTGCATGTATGGTGAGGACAGGAGTCACTGGAGCAGCTGGACAAATTTGACATCCGTTCATTTAAACTTGTTCCATGTTCTCCGGCTGCTGTGCAAGATTTATGGATGGGGTAGAGACTTGTCAGTCTCCTGTTGTAAAACCGTGACATGGGAAAATCCAGAAGCACAAAATGGGTGGAGAATTTTGTGTACAGCTTTGAAATCCATCATGCTCTCTGAGCTTTTAGAGAGTAACCCTTTATGTTCCTACAGCACAACGATAGACACTTTATAAAATTTAGACAATGACTATAGCAGTTTTTTATGTGGGAGTGAAGGATGGCAAGAAAGATGACGGCATTCTGATTCCAATGTTATTACTAATGATAACCACTAGAAAAACTTCTACCCTGGGAAGAAATTCCTGCTCCCCATAACTCCTTCAGAAAGGAAAATAAGAGACAAAGAAGCTGTGCCAGAAGGAATTAGCGTGTTTCACTGGCTTAGCCTACATGCCATTTTTATTCTGCCCTTGTAAAGGATCTGATATTTCAGACAGTGCACTTACATTTGATTTCAAAATAAAGAATCTTCTTTTCCTGGAGGATCTTGAAGCCCAGGTGCCCAAATTAAATCCTCTCCCTTATCCATGAGGCTAGTTTACTACCAGCTTTGAGACAGACTCGTCTCTCTGAGCTTCCCCATAAATGATCTTGTTTCTTTCCATGCCAACATGCTTTAAACGCAGAGAGCATTTCTGCAGCAGACATCTCCAGCCATTTGGAGATGTACATGGTTAAGAAAGAGGTAATGTTTTTCTCAACACAAGAGTTTTCTTTTTGAAGTTTCTATCCCAATGCTACTGTTCATCTGGAAGGAACTCAGCTCCTCAGGTGATCGTGGTGAGAACACTGTAGAAACTCCTGCTTTCTCAAGGTGTTCTGTAGCCCCGTCATCATCTGGAGGACAGACAGGTCTCTGTGCCAGCGATCTCATAGCAGCTGGCCTTCCATCACTAAAATGCGTGACATGCCAACGCTAGTGTGCTTCCCAGAAGCACTCCAAGTCATGCTGATGAGAGACGGAAAGTTCCCCCCACACCCTGCCCCAAAAGCTCCGGATGACAGAGAGGAAGATGGGCTATTCAACGAATACACCGAATGCTTGAAAAGCAACTCCTGTTCTCCCTGGCGCTGACAACGGGTGCCAGCAGGCTCTGACGGCTGCCTTCACAGCCCAGATCTGGACAGACATGT